CTTTCTGTCTCTGTGACTCTGACTACTCTAGGGATCTCATATAATTGGGATCATCCATCATTTGTCTTTTTGTGACTGGCTTATTTCACTTGCTGTAGTATCTTCAAGGTTCATCCATGTTGTAGCACGTGTCAGCATTTCCTTCCTTTTTAAGGCTGAATGATATTCCAGTGTATGGATATATGCCTCTTTCTGCTCAACCACTCATTTGTAGTTCGGTACTTGGGTTACTTCTACCTTTTTAGTTTCTTTTCTTTTCTTTTTTGCAGCTGGCCTGTACAGGGATCTGAACCCTTTCCTTGGTGTTTATAGCACTTTTTGACTATTGTGAATAATGCTGCTGTAAACATGGGAAGACTTCAGAGTGTTTTTACAGAGGCACTGCATAGCAGCTAGGTTCTTATCTTTTTAGTCTAAGTATTGTTTCAAACTAAGAGTAAGATGCTTATCTTTCGGATTTTTGTTAGGTAGTTCTTTATATTGTTTTATTTTTATTTTTTAGTCTAAATTTAAGACCTAAATTTCTTTTGTTTGTTTTTATTTTATTTATTTATTTATTTTTAAAGTTTATTTATTAATATTATTCTTTTACATCCTAGGACATTGTTGCAGAGCAATTGGCAGGGATGGGGATGGGGAAGGGGGAAGGAAATAGGGTGGGAGAAAGAGGAAGGACGAGGGGCGGGATTAAGGCCTGTGGCACCCCCTTCATTCCAGCAGGGGAGACCAGGGGGCTTCCAGTGGTGTCTTGGTTATTGCCAGGCTGGGTGCAGATGTCAGGGGAGTGTGGCTGAAGCCCTGGCCTCCCCAGCTCAGGAGCTTGGGGCTCTTTCTGCTGTGGCTTGGTGGTAGTTGCTGGGCTGGTTGAGGGTGTCGGGGGTGGTGGCAAGGCCTAAATTTCTAACTACTATGTAATCACTGCTTTGCTTTCTAAGCAGTATAGAGCTAGCAGTTTTTGGTGAAGAGTGTCATATTTAGAATCTTGTAGTAATGTAATTTGATTCAACCAGCTAGTAACATTTGATGGTACTCTAGCTATAGCATTTTATAATAAAATGCTTTTCATATATCTGACCCTTAAACTCTCTTCAAATCTCAATGCATTTATTTGCTAGATTTTCTGCCCATACATATGCTAAACATTCCTGTGAAAATCCTTCTCTTAATATCTATCATTCAATCAGCAGAGTTGGGGTGGGAATGTTGCTTGATAAAACTGAGCTAATGAAATGAAGATAGTTGTTAACATGCTGAAGACCATCTTCAAGGGGTATTGAATGTAGGGGATATTTGTGGGTGTTGCCATCTTTAGGACAAAATGAGTTTAGTTTCAATATATTTGTTATTAGGTGATTCTTTGTATTATATAGAATTTTCCAGGGATTAGTTCCTTAATCGTACTATTTAGTGCTTCCAAATTATTAGTTGTATCTGATGATGGGGTGGGGCAGAGGGAAGAGCTGTTAAGAGGATGGGGAAAAGCATATAAATGTTGAAAGAAAATGCTTGTATCCCTTTTCAATTCAAGATCATTTGAACAATGAGAGCACTGCATATTGTGGATGAAATGTTTGGTTAGCAACCAAGTTTTCAGGCGTGCGCGTTGTAGATGTATACACTTCTGCAGCTCCTGGGTTCAGTCCAAACACTCTTGCAAGAAACTAATAACTAACTTTGTGGTGGGTGGAGAGATAGTAGGCTCTGAGTCAGAGCAGAATTTCCGGAGAGTTGATAATGCATTTGTGTATAGTGTAGATTTGACTGTAAGGTGCAGGCTAGTGCAATGCAATCAGATACAATTAAGCAGTGATGTTATTGACAAAGTGTGATGATTGCAGTCTTTGTGGGGCTCTGGGCCTAAGGAAGTGAAGAAGTAAATTGCATGTTTGAAAAGTTGTGGTGTGCTGGAGACTTTTCTGCAGCATCTGTGATAGTCTCGCGTGGATTTAAATGCAAAGCTTTAGAAAGTGACTTTAATTCTAGTTGATTGCAATAGAACCTACTTACCTTTTGGGGTTAGTCTTACACACCTAGGTAAAATATAGCTCTAAAGTTTTCCTTGTGATTATCTCTGCCTAAAACATGTATTGGCTAAAAGAAAGACCACTAACTTCTTTGGACTTCTTGAATATATCTTTGAGAATAAATGTAGAATAAGTGATATGAAAAAAAGTTAAGCTGTGGCTAGCACAGGGAGTGAAGTTTTGTTTAACTTTTATTTTGCATTTGTCTTAGTTATGTAAATTAAAATGAAAAAAAATTACCTTTCCTGACAATGGAAATACTCTTAAGTTATAATGAGTACAACATTGACTTTTGGCCAAGGTTCTTTAGGAAATACAAATTGACTTCCAGGTAATGTAGCTCCTTTTCTTAGAACCTATCTTTTGGTAGTAGAGATAAGGCAAACAGAAACAGTTTCATACTTTGGGTCAGAAAAATGTAAGAATATGAAAATATGAGAACATAAGCAAGAAGTGGACTGTCCTTTTTTTTAACAACTGTCTTGAGATGTAATTCACGTCCCATGCAGTTCAACCAATTCTGTCTGTCTTTAGTATGCTCACAGTTGTACAGCCATCAGCACGATGAATTTTAGAACATTTTCATCACCCCCCCCAAAAAAACTGCACCCATTAGCAGCACTCCTCAGCCCTAGGCAACCACTAATCTATTTCCTGTCTACAGATTTCCCTATTCTGGACATTTCAAATAAGTAGAATCATACAGTTTAAGGTCTTTTGTGACTGGCTTTTTTCACATGGTGTTAGTTTCATCCACGTTGTAGCTCGTATCAGTACTTCATTCCTTTTTACTTCTGAGGAATGTTCCGTTCTTGTATCATAGTTATCCATTCATTCGTTGATGGACATTTGGTTCTGTCCATGTTGTGGCTATATGAGTATCCAAATACTGCTGTAGTGAACGTTTGTGTACAAGGTTTTGTGTGAACACAGGTGGTCATTTCTCTTGGGTGTATATCTGAGTGAAATCACTGGTCAAATGGCAACTCCGTTTAACCTTTTGAGAAACTGCCAAACTTTCCCAAAGTGACTGCAACATTTTACGTTCCCACCAGTAATGTACAAGAGTTCTAATTAACTTCTCTAATTAATCCTTGCCAACCCTTGTTATTTATCTGACTTTTTTTTTTTTTCCTGGTGACTGGCTAGGATGGGGATCTGAACCCTTGACTATGTGACTTTTTGATTATAGTTATCCTAGCGGATATGAAGTGGTATCTCATTATAGTTTTGATTTGCATTCCCTCAATGTCTAATGATATTGAGCATCTTTTCTTGTGCTTTATTATTGAGTTGTTCTTTGTATATTCTGATGCAAGTTCTTTACTAGATATGCGATTTGCAAGTATTTTTTCAATTCTGTGCATTGTCTTTCTCTCTTGATGGTGTCCTTTGAAAGGCAAAACTTTCTAATTTTGATGAGGTCCAATTTATCTATTTTTTCTTTTGTTACTTATGTTTTAGGTGTTATGTCTGAGAAACCATTACTTAACGCAAGGTTGTGTGGATTTATGCATATATTTTCTTCTAAGAGTTTTATAGTTTTAACTCTTCCATTTAGGCCTTTGGTCTGTTTGGAGTTAATTTTTGTATATGTTGTGAGGTAAGGGTCTGACTTTATTCTTTCGCATGTGGATGTCCAGTTGTCCCAGCACCATTTCTTTCTCCATTGGATTGTCTTGGCACCATTGTCAAAATTAGTTGACCATACATGTGACAGTATATTTCTTGAGTCTGAATTCTGTTTCATTGATCTATATATCTATCCTCCTATCCGCTTTCTTTTTTATCCTTCTAACCTTTCAGTAGTACCACATTCTCTTGATTACTGTTAGCTTTGTAGGAAGTTTTGAAATAGTGGAGTGTGAATCTTTCTACTTTGCTTTTCTTTTTAAAGATTGTCCTGGCTATTCTGGGTGTTTTTCATTTTCATATGGATTTTAGGATCCTCTTATTGATTTTTGTAAAAAAGGCCAGCTGGGATTTTTTTTTTTTTTTTGTCTTTTATCTTTTTCCGTGTCCGGCAACGGATCGCAACCCTCAGTGTTGCCCCTGCACCGGACCGGGGACCGGCAACGGGATCGCAACCCTCGGTGCTGCTCCCGCGCCTCGCTCAGCCAGTGAGCGGGAACCGGTCTGTATGTGGGATCCGAACCCTCGGGCGGGAGCGCCGCCGCGCTTCCTAAGCGGCACACTTACCCAGTGCGCCACCGGGCTGGCCCTGGGATTTTTATAGGAATTGCATTGAATCTTGTAGATCAATTTGGAGAGTATTGCCATCTTAACAGTACTAAGTTCTTCAATTCATGAATGTAAGTTGTCTTTCCATTTATTTAAATCTTTAGTTTTTTTCAACAATGTTTTGGAATTTTTAATGTACAAGTCTTGCATTTCTATTGAATTTGTTCCTAAGAAGTTAATATTTTTGATGCTATTATAAATGAAATTATTTTCTTAATTTCATTTTCAGATTTTTCATGGTTGGTGTATGGAAACACAATTGATTTTTGCGTGTTGTTCTTGTATCCTGCAACCTTGCAGAACTTGTTTATTTTGATAGTTTTTTAGTAGATTCCTTAGCATTTTCTATATATGAGATCATATTGTCTGCAAATAAAGTTAGTTTTACTTCTTCCTTTCCAATTTGGATGCCTTTTATTTGTTTGTTTGTTTTTTTTCCTACCTGCCCTGGCTAGACTCTCTAGTAGAATGTTGAACAGAAGTTGAGTAATAGACGTCCTTGTTTTATTCCTGATGTTACAAGGTGAGCCTTTCAGTGCAGTCCTCTACCACTAAATGTAATGTTAGGTGTGGGTTGTGTAGATGCCCCTTATCAGGGTGAGGAAATTTCTTTTAATTCCTAGTTTGTTGAGTGTTTTTGTCATGAAAGAGTGTTGGATTTTCATCAAATGCTTTTTCCAAAATAAATTACTTTTAAAAAATGACTTTTTCTTGTTTTTCTTTTTTTATCTGCAGAAATTGACTTGCATACCAAATGTGTGGTGGATGTTGATGCAAACAAGGTTATTCTTAATCCTGTAAATACTAATCTTTCCAAAGGAGATGCCCGGTAAGTTAAGAAACAACTGTACTCAGTGGACTTTTATGTAACTGGGAGCAAAAGTGGCTGCTGAATTTAGTTTAGTTGAACAAATACTGAGTACTTATTCCATGGAGACACACTGCTGTCTTCTGCAAGTCTGTACTTAAGTGGAAGAGACGAGGTCTGTGATGTGAAATGACTAAGAATCAGTGTCACAGATCGTAATTGTGTGAGAAGCTCAGAAGAGACTGAGCGTCAGCGTGTGGAGTAGCTGAGGATGGCTTCCAGAGGGAGATGGTGCTGGCTGAGAATGAGGCCAGATGCAAATAGAAGAAGCGGGGAGCAGGAGAGGCTTTTAGGCTTTTCCTTAGCATGGGTGGCTTTCACTTCCGCTGGTTCATATCCCGTCTGTCCATTTGAGCCCATTCAAGTGTTCCCTTCATGAAGATGCCCTGCAGCCCTCAGAAGTTCCTCCTCTCCACGTACCTGTCCACTGCAATCCATGCTACCCAATTTAATTGTCATCGATTGTTTCTAATTGTGAATTCTAGCTCTACAGTAGATTTTAGGCTCTTTTGAGGGAAAAGATGCTGTCAGGGGCTGAGGATGAATACTTGAGCAGCACTTCTAGATTTGGTTGATAGTACAAACAAAAGGGAGGAGGAGAAAGTGAATTTGGAAAAGAATGATGAGATTGATTTGGGTTTTTTTTTTTCAATAAATGGAGGGAAATTAATTCAATCAAATAAACTGGGATCAGATTACAGAAGACCTGGTGCAGACAAGGAAATTTGGGCTTTATTTTTGTAAGATATTGTCTTTGACAATGTTTGAGTATGATGACTGAGGAGGTAGATTAGGAGAAGTTGTCAGCTGGCAATGTAGAGGATGGGTCAAAGTGGGGAAAGGCAGACTATTTATGGAGATCAGCTATATCAGTGATGTTTTTGTACCCACCCTGGAAGTGGAGAGGACAGTAAGAGAGATGGTGCCTGGCATAATGGTTTGTACAAAGTAGATAAGTACGTGTAGAGACAGTGTTGTATATGGCACTGTACAGATGTGCTGTTGAGTTAAGTTGAATTGAGCTGAAAAGAGCAGGGAACTTGGAGTCAGAAAATGCAAAATCATATCCTCACTTAACTATGTTACCATAGCTAGTTATTTTTAACTTTTTTGAGCCTCATCTGTATGACGCCTGCCCTTTCTGTCTCACAGAGGTTTTTCCCCAAAGATCAGATTAATCGGTGATTGTTAAAATGCTTTGTATGTGTTCCGTAAATATTCAGGTTTATTGTTATTGATGTATGGATACATACAGCAAAGTGTAAAACTTGATGAGTTTTCATAAATTGAACACACTCCTATAACTGGCACTCAGATAAAAAAAACAGCATTATTAGCATGGCAAAAGACTACCTCATGAGCAGTGCTTTTTCTTTTAATGTATTATCAAGGTGAAAAGAGAAAACAAATTTTTGAATGCAGCAGTCCAGTGGTATATGTTGACTGCATTAAATTTGAGGAAAAGTAGGAAGGAAAGCACAAATTAAAAGCTGAATTTTATTAATAATATGAGTTTAATTACCGTGTAGCTTGCAGAATAACAAACTAATCCATAAAACAAGTTGTGGTTTTTATAAGACCTATATTTGTAACTAGAGAGCCTGGAATTTGAAATTAACATAAAAGTGATTTGAATCAGTTTATAATCATTAGTCAGAGAGGCTCAATTTAATATTTTTCCTTGTACAGCTACAGAATCCTTGCTTTTATAATAGTATCTAATTCTATTAATGTACAACTATGACTAATTTTATAGGTATACTTCACAACTGAAGTTATTATACTTTAAAAGTGAACATATATAAACTTTAAAACAATGGTTTGTATATTCTTGTTAATAATTTTACATAAACTTCTGAAGATTTTGTAATTATTTGATTAAGTTTATTATAACTAATTGAAGCCATGATTAAATGAATTGGTGAACCATTTCAAGTATAAATGCTTAATCATGGTGATTTGGGAAACTTTTTGTTGTGATGTATATGGAATTTCGATACTTCTGAAAAATAAGGTGTTTAAAATTCAGAAAATTGGTAGTACAAGGTCAACAGGAGATTAAAAACACTAACTTTGGAGCCAGGCATTCTGGATTGAATCTCAGCTTTACCACTTACCGGCTATGATCCCCAGCTAGTCACTTAAATCTCCTCTGCCTCTGTTTGCCCTTTTTTTTTTTTTTTTTGGCGCTGGCCAGGACAGGGATCTGAACCCTTGGTTTACTCATTTGTAAAGTGGAGATTAAATAGTACCTGCCTATACATTGTTATGAGGATTAAATAAGTTAAAATATGTCAAATGGTAATGCCAATACACAATAAACCCTCTATAAATGTTAGCCATTACTTTTAGTATCATTGTTATTATGGCCTGTATTTAAGTTGTAGTCCAGGGTATCCTCAATGATACCCTCGTAAAATAGTAAATTTTTTTAAAAAATAGAATATATTCAATTCAAACTTAAGTATATGAGGGTGTCTTCAAAAAATTCATGGAAAGATTTGTTTTAATATTTATCTATTTTTTTAAATGAAGTTTTTGAAGTACCCTCACACGTGCCTATCAAGAAATTATCTAGTTATATAAAAAGTTCAACTTTGCAAAGTCAGAACCTTTATTCTGTTTGCCCAAACGTCCTTGGGCTGTTAGGGACTAACATGCCATCTCTTAAAGAGACAGGACCCATAATTTTAAGTTTATAGTGAATAATACACTCTTATAAATCTCTGCAATCCAGGCTTCTCCTCTTTCATATCGACTAACTTGGGAAACCAGGTCGAAATGTTGCTTGTGAATGTAGGGTAAGAACAAAGGGACATTTTATCAAATATGGAAAAGATTAGTGATGAACTATCCCTGTCTCACGATGTTCTACTTAGAACACTCTAGTTAGTGAAATACTAGTATCCACCAGATCAGTGTTTTTCTTATGTGTATAGTACTGGACACGTACTGATACATTTTATGTGCACATGCAGAGCCACACTGCTTACACTACTAGTATAATTAAATATCTTTTTGGAATTATGGTCTTGCCCTGAATCAATTTAGTTTCTAGAATGGTCCTTGGGGCTTTCCAAATCTTCATCAGTAACATATTTACAAGTTATCTTTTAGGTCTAATAGGTAACCAATTCAATGGTCTCTTCTTAGTAGATTTTTACAGGTGTAATAATTCTCTATGTGTAATTTTTATCTTAGCATTTTGGAACACCTCATTATAATTCCCTTCTGTAGCTAGTTACAGTAATACCATGATGGAGTATGTCCCCTTTACATAACTAAATAAATCTTTAGGCTTTGTTTTATTTGTATTATATCTTACAACTTATTAAAGTTTTATCCTCTAATAATAAAATGTTAATGCTAGTGCCTGTCGTCATGGTAGGACAAGGTAGTTTCTTAGGCTAAGTTTTATCTTCAGGCTTCTGCTTCTTTTCCTCCGGAACCCACCAAACAGGCCTTTCCTGCTAACTCTGGCTAGGAGTTAATTGAAACACTTTGTTTAATGAAGGATTCAGGTGTATTTTCTCATGGAGAGTGGTCGCCTCCATGTTATGAATAACTGTGTTATAAGAGGTGATGTGTAGGAGAGTCTAGAAGATGGGTGCTTCCGCCCTCAGCACTGCCAGTTGTTTCGAGTGAAAACAGTGTTCTGTCGAAAGAGCCGCTAAATTCATCCACTGCTGGAGCAGTCACACTTTATATTTTGGTGTGCAGCTGGAGAGCTTCACACCGCCCTCCCATTTCACCTCTCATGATACTGAAAAGATGTGTCCTGGAGGGCTGAGTTTGAACAACGTGGAAAGTTTTCTTTTTTGTTTTATTTGTTTGTTTGTTTACACTGGCCATTTCTTTTTCTTTTTGTAAAATGAATACTTTTTACTGTTTTACTGAGGATATTTTACATTTAAAACCTTTTGTTTTTGGCTGCGGGTGCTGGTGATGAGGAATACGGTGACTAGTATACTTTGGTTTCTTTGTGCCTAAGGTGCCAGCAGTTTTACCCACCGTTGTTTTTGTATCACCAGTGCAGGTATCAACTCAGTGAAAAAGGCAGTGTCTTAGTATTAATGTGAAAGTCTTTTTGACCTCCAGACCCTCTGAAAAGCTCTGGGGGGACTCCAGGGATCCTCAGACCACAATTTGAAAACCACTGCTTTAATCTAGTTTACAAGCTCTGAGAACCAAATGGTTGTCTTTGGTTTGTTTATTTTTAAACAGCTTTATTCAGATATAACCTACATACTATACAATTCACCCCTTGAAAGTGAATAATTCAGTGGTTTTTGTTATATTTATGGAGTTGTGCAAACAGCACCATTATCTACTTTTATGTCATTTTTATCACCCTATTAATCTCCTTTTTGTCTTTATAGATTGAGGTTGGTTTGTTCTGGGCATTTAAATAAATGAGGTCATACTCTATGTAGTCTGTGATTGGCTTCTTTGACTTAGCATGTTTTTGAGGCTTATCCATGTTATAGCATTTATCAGTACTTCATTCCTTTTTATGATGGAATAATATTACATTGTATTCTGTTTCGTTTATCCATTCATCAGTTGATAGAAGTTGGGGTTGTTTCTACTTTTTTGGCTTAATGAATAATGCTGCTTGTGTACAAGTCTTTGTGTGGACATGTGTTTTCATTTCTCTTAGGAAGTAGATATCTAGGCATGGAATTGCTGGGTCATAGGGTAACTCTATGCTTAATGTTTTCAGGAACCAGCAAACCGTTTTCCAAAGCCACTACACCATTTTACATTCCCTCCAGCCATGTATGAGGGCTCCAATTTCTTTGGCTGGTTTTTTAAAGAACTCTCATTTACTGTAAGGAAAATGGTTGTAGCTCTGGCTGATTGGAGAGTGCGTACCCTGCCCAAAGGCATTCAGATTACAACCAAGAAGAAAACAAAACATTGTGCTGTTCACAAAAACACTTCTGGCCAGATTCAGCCCT